AAAGGTTGGGCTGGGCGTGGTGGCTCACACCTGTAATCCAAGCACTTTGGAGCCTGAGGTCAGGAGTTCAAGACCAGCCTGACCAACATGGTGAAACCCCATCTTAGGGGGAAAAAAAAAAAAAAAGTTGAAACCCACTAGCTTAAATAAACTGTGAGGCTCTTCCAAGGTCTGTTTTCTGGGAATCTTTTAGTGTGGACCAGGGTCCATCTTCTTTTCTGAAACAACGCACTCCTTTTTTTTTTTTTTTTTGGAGACAGAGTTTTGCTCTGTCACCCAGGCTGGTGTGCAGTGGTGCAATCTCAGCTCACTGCAACCTCTGCCTCCTGGGTTCAAGCGATTCTCCTGCCTCAGCCTCCGAATAGCTGGGACTACAGGTGTGCATCACCATCCCCAGATAATTTTTGTATTTTTAGTAGAGTTGGGGGTTTCACCATGTTGGCCAGGCTGGTCTCAAACTCCTGACCTCAGCTGATTCAGCTGCCTCAGCCTCCCAAAGTGCTGGGAGTACAGGCATGAGCCACCGTGCCCAGCCCAAAGCACTCTCTTGAATGTAGATAAATCACGCAGTATAAGCACTGTGCTCTGTGTGAGGGTGAGAGATGAAGCCACAAGCATTTGTTGGTTATCTACAGGGGTATAATCCCAAATATGAAATTCTGAAATCCAAATATCTCTGAAAACCAAATGTTTTTTCTTGGTTGGCACCAAAACCGAATGGTAGCAAAACCTGACCTGAACTCATTTTTTCCTACAGAAGGATGCTGTATTGTCCCAGGCCTGTGTTGGCTGCCTGGAGGCCTTGCTTGACTACCTGGATGCCCGGAGCCCAGATATCGGTAGAAACTCTCCACATTCTATGATGTTCCCATGAGAAAGATTGAGGGGAGCCAGCCCCTCCCACCCTCCTGCTCCAGCCTTCTATCCCATTGTGTGATTCATACTTGTTTTGTTTAATTCTTTTAGCAGCATTGCAAGGGCAGTCATGCCCATTATACAGATGAGGTCACTAAGGTTGAGAAAGGTCAAATGATGAGCCCAACCAAGGTCCCAATGCCCTTAAGTGGCAGAGCCTTTCTTACTGCCTGCCTTCCACAATCGTGGCATATATAGTTTCACTGAGCCAGTCAGCATAGGTGGATTAGAAGCCCAGGGAAGAAAGAACCCTCCTTGGGTCAGCTTGTCTGGTACCCAGCATCTAACGGGGTAGCTCCTTTTTAAGCCAATAGGAGAAGGTCCTCTTTGTCAATGTCCCAAGGTAAGGCCTTGGAAGCATTAACAACCCCACATTTCTTGAAGCTCTCCATGTGGCCTCCCAGCCTTGGAATCGGTTTTTGCTGTTTACTCTCTTGGATGCTGGAGAGAATTCCTTCCTCAGACCTGAGATCTTGAGGCTCATGACCCTGGTAAGTGCAGAAAGGATATCTTGTGGTCTGAGGAGTGTCAATGAGCTGGGTGGTATTGAAGAGGCCAGGGACACCTTACTTTAGGTAACTCTAATTCTTAAAGAAGGTGGAGGCTGGGCAGGCCTTTACCCTACAAGAGGCCTGCTCAGAGAATTCCTCTGAATGCCCATATCTCCTCACTCCAGGGAACCCTAGGACCCTTTCTCCTATTTCTCTCATGACATGTTGACCAGGACCTGTCTACCACATGCCAGGTCTGCTAGGTACTATGGATGTCAATGAACCAGATGCTCTGCCTTTAGGGTCCCTCAGTCTAAAGAAGGGGATATATAAGTAAACTAATAATATAAATATGTAATAGAAGTGGTAAAGTAGAGGAGATGCTAACTGTAGGGGACACAGTAAGTAACCCTTGAATAAATAACAAAGCATCAAACCTATGAATGACAGCAAAGTGGACCAACAAATACATCAGTAGTTGGTAGGGGAACAAAGAGGAAAGAGTAATTGCTTCTCAGCAGTGAAGGTAACATTTTAGCTGTGGCTTGAGAGATTCATAGGCAGAGAGGAAAGGTATTCCAGGTAGTGAAGTAAGAGCAACAGGTACAAGTGCACATGGTGGTATGTCAGGGGAGTCACATGTAGTTCATTTTGGCTATGAGTGTTCAGCTCTCTTAGGATCTCACGGTTTGCCTTACTTACCCGTTTTCCCCATGACACAGCCCCACTCCTGCCTACTAACTCTGAGCTCCTTGAAGGCAGGGAGGTTCTGTGGGCTTCAGGAGAGTGTCCCCTAAAGTTGAGGCACAGCAGATGTTTATGATGGAGATGCCAAATCACTGCATGTTTGGGGCTTCTCTTCCTGGGCCAGTTTGTGCGGTACCGGAGTAGCAGTGTCCTCTCTCATGAAGAGGTGGATGATGTTCTGCAAAGTGTGGCTTCAGCTGACCTGTCTACCCTCTCAAACACCACACTCCAGGCCCTGCATGGCTTCTTCCAGCAGGTGGGTGGGAAGGGGAGGCCATGCATCCACTGTATGGCTAGACCCTCAAGACCATCTTATCCTGGAGGATAGAAGCTCTGGCCACAGCAGCCTAGGAACGCCTAGGAACAGGAGGCTGGAAGTACAGAGGATGGAGGCAGTTGGGGCCTGTGTGGAGTAGGCACTGAGGAGGCCTGTCTTCCATGCCCTCTTATCCCTGCAGCTCCAGAGCATGGGCCTCCTGGCTGACCACAGCATGGCCCAGACCCTGCAGGCCTCCTTGGAGGGCCTTCTCCCTAGCACCACCTTGAGCCAGCCACCCCTGCAGGACATGCTGTATCCTTTCTTGCATCTGGAAGCCTTGGCCTGGGCAAGCTCTCCCAGGCCATAGGAAGCTGTGGCATCATGCTTCAGGAAAGAGAGGTGCACTACAGTCCTGTCTTCTAAAGTAAGCAGGGCTCGGTGAGGTTAGTAGCATTGACAACAACAATGCCATATCATGTTTATAAGTTCCTACAGATACCAGGCATATTACATGCATTATATTTAATCCTCACATCAGGTAGGGGTGTTAAGGTAGTTGCAGTACAGGTTGAGCATCCCTAATATAAAAATTAAAATCCTCGGTGCCAAGTTCTGGGAAAAAAAAAAAAAAAGAAATCCAGGGCCAGGTTCAGTGGTTCACGCCAGTAATCCCAGCATTTTGTGGGGCTGAGGCAGGCAGATCACAAGGTCTGGAGTTCAAGACCAGCCTGGCCAATATGGTGAAACACTGTCTCTGCTAAAAAGACAAAAATTAGCCAGGTGTGGTGGCATGCGCCTGTAGTCCCAGCTACTCGGGAGGCTGAGGCAGAAGAATTGCTTGAACCTGGGAGGCGGAGGTTGCCATGAGCTGAGATCACACCACTACATTCCAGCCTGGGCAACATGGTGAGACTCTGTCGCAAAAAAA